TTGAACTACCACATTTGCAAACAAAGAAATTCACCCCCATTTTAATGTGACCCATTTATTGTGATTACTCTTCAAGATTTTAAATTAATATGGCAAATGGATAGAAAGAAAAATACATCATTCTCAATGTGTGACTCGGAGAGATTTCCACATTTTACTCAATTATTCAGGCAGTATTCTGTATTTTGATCATTGTGTCACTCTCTTCACGATTACTCTTTAGTTTTCTCCATGGCAAATCTGTAAAAAGAAATTTACCAGATTGTGTTCAAATTCAGTAAGAAGAAACACAACTGCACTTCCCTAAACCCCTATTGATATAATGTAACGACACGAATAAAGGGATAGAGGACGCACATTTTTTAATCTTCATAGTAAGCTTTTCAAGAGAGCATAGACAAACAAATCTAAACTGGTCTCGAGTTACTACGACTTCAAGAACACACAAATAGATTTGAAGTTGTCAAAAAAAGAATTCCACCCTCCCAATTTAAGAATACCTCATAATTATGAGACTTATAATGACAACAGTGCTACATGAAAGTTTCAGCAACATAGGGGTGACGAAATCTGACAGGATAATGGTTGTACACCCTTCATTATTACGTGCATACTATCATAACAAGACCAGTTTGTGATCCACATTAGTAATACGGATGAATTTCATTATCGTGTCTACATTGCATAGACAAGATATTATCCTATCATTTTTCCAATTTAACAGTTCAGCACATCCACACAGCCAGGCGACTTCCGTTCTGTGTTTGAACTTTGAAGTTTCCCCGCACATCAATGTTAAACTATTAGGAGATTTTCATCCTATTCATGCCTTCAATTCGTCGATACACATTTCATCGTGGGCTAAAGGTTGTTGTTTACTGTCGTCGCCGAAGCCCCGAGGTTTTTGGGAATTGTCAACGAAACTCTTTATGGATTTGCAATTCAAACAAACTTTTCAATAGGACAGGGCTCTTTTTAATTGCAGTCAATGGGAGGATAATACATCAGATCAGATCGAGGTGGAACTGACTGGTGTAGAGGTAAATTCTGTTTTTGTATTCCGTCAATGATGCTACAAATAAATTAATTGTAGCTAGATAATGATCATGCATGGGATATCTCCAATTCAATGAGATTTTTCTTTCTTTCTTTTCATCAGATGAATGAAGATATTGATGACCTACCAACCACTGAGATAGCGATGTATGTAGATTGATTGGTCGTTAAGAGTCGAATCAAAATGGGATCAATTTTGGTGATGATCTATTTAATAAACTGGGAAGAGACTTCAATCGTGGTTTGCAGTCATCATAAAGCCATGTAAATGATGACAGGTTTCGAACACAACCTGCATGCACAAGTCGAATGTGTTAACGTTTTGCAATGGATAATAGTTATATTACATAATTGTGAATCCGACAGTATTCATTAGTAATTGTTTAAGTCTTCATACTACTGTTGACAAAATCTATAAGGTTAGGGAATCATGGGCATAAAATTACATTGTGATCCACTGATGAGATAATAAACAATATCACAAATCATTATTAGCATTACATAATATCTTTACAAGATAATTAATGTCATATTTATGGCTGAGTAATCATGATAAGGTTTGCATGACTTGTGTCAACATCATACCATAATCGTTATTATAAATAGCTGTATAATTGTTGCACTAATTTGTTTACTAAGCTGATTGTTTGCATTGAAAATATTATTCACAAAATAGAGTGAAAAGGGTTTATTTAACTTAACTCTAGACAAAAAGAATGCTTGCAATCTCTCATCAAATTATAAATAAACAGATCTGTATTGTACCCCCTATTCTACTGGCATGCGTGATTTCCTGATAAATAGGGAACACAATTTAGGTCAAATCTGAGTTTTCACAAAAACAAGTGGGTGTTGAAATATATCATGCTTCTATTATCTTACGCTCAATTATTATCGTGAAACAGATCATAGATGGTTATAATTACACGCCTCTATGGTACAGTATTTGTTTACCACAGAATGGTATGAGGTTTTGTGGAGAGATATTGAGAGACGATCTCTTTTCTTTTCTTTTTCATTTTTTTTAAAAATTGTACTCTTTCCTTCTTTTAGCATTCCCATTTGAGGCCTTCTAATATATGCTTGAACAATCAAGCGTATACAAACGTGTCGGCGTGGTAAAAGATTTCTCTATGATAATTAAATGCTTAATAACCATCGGGATTTAACAGTCAAAGGTATACAGAGGTCCCAAAGAGCAACAAAAGACTAAGGTGATTTCAAAAGAAGGAAATAGTTTACATTCTACTAATCAACCGCAATTGAGTACCTAATAAAGCTTCAGTATTCTATGGCAGCTATTATGCTACGTACTCGCTCCAGCGGTGACGATAATTAAAATACATGTTAATTGGTAAACATTTCTATTGCTTCACTGGACTTCCAGTACCACCACCCAGTTCTGTACTTTTAGATATTACTGTAGTTGTATTATACATGTTGACTTGACACACTTATCTATGTGTAATCTAGAGGAACAATTATCACACGAGATCTGTTCAAATTTCTCCCACAGGATATAAACTTTTGCCATGGTTAAGAGGCTTAGCATGGATGTGAATTAACAAAAAGTGAAGATGATAACAACGCTTTTTATGCATATTTTGCTGTTGTAACGTTCAATTATTGTTAATATAATCCTGATAATTATGCTTTTAAACCCAATGTTGTACATGTACATCTTATAAGATATTACTTTCCATCCCATCATCCATGGCTTTTTGCGAAAAAAGTAAACCTTCGTAATATATGTAGATAAAATGAGACAATATTTTTATTTCCTTTCAGAAATTTTTTAATAATTACTTTACAGTTTGTAAGCAATTTTAATTTTCGTCGCTGTTAAAAGTGGTATCATATAGAAAAAAAAGGATTTTCTTCTTAAGTATATTGCCCGGAGGTGTTGAGTGATAACACAATGATGGTATGAACCAATAGATTGGTTTAGTTACATTCTCAACAATGATATTAAATTGGCATTCATTGGTTGGTAAACTTTATGTTTGTCTCGACTATGCAGAAAAGTGTGTATCTTGTATTTTAGAAGGGATTACTGAGTGAATGTGCGCTGCCAAAATACTTAAATCCCCAATACATGATAATGGTGTTTAATAAATAAATAAACCATTGATAGCTATAGTCGTGAAATAATCATTGAAAACATAAAAAGGGCTTTCAGCAAGCATTTGTGATCATTGAATAGTAATAAATGATTTAGATTGATAAATTCATATCTCTTCAGGATGTGTCTACATAACATAAGTACTACTCACCATCTACAGGTTTTTATTTTCTTTCAACAAGGTAAAGTTTGGGCTACACAGGGGGCAATTCGATGCACAGTTTGATAACAACATTACTGTGTATTGCGCAAATAATTTTTTTTTAATAAAAAGGAGGGCTCTTTAATCTGATCAAGCATCACCAAACTTAGCTCTTTAAACAATTATGCAAAGTATTATTCGAAGTTGTTATCCAGATATCTAGTACATGTGTATCTTATTGTGTGAAATGTAATTTTTGTTTAATAAAAACAATTTAAATCGAAAATGTTCTATACAATAACACGACAGTCACTATTGTCGTTTCATGAGAAAAAGGTTATACCAGAACTTAATTTCTGAAATGCATTTTAATTTTTAAATTGACAACTTTCAAGATATTGTTTTAGTAATTATCAAAAAGCAATACCGGTGTTCATATCGACACGTGTTCTAAATGCATCAAACTTCAACATCGAATAGGCAATGGAAGAAAACAACTTTTCTGATTTGTCTATTCATTTATAATAGTGTAACTAGATTTTGGATGCTCATTGAATTTGTAAGCCTATATTTGTCGGTGAATAGAAAATATAGAAACAATGCAATGTTGTTTGGAAATCGTGGATATTATTTTACTTAATGCAAATAATTTTCGGTTACTTACAAAAGAGAAAAAATACAGATATATCTTCAAAAAGTCATATTCAGGTAACTTCTCCTTCCTATGCTCGCGTGAAAAAAACTTCTCTTTTGGGGAGCTCACATTTACTTATCGGATCTCAAACTTTCAACTATTTGTTTCTCTCATTTTCTGCTTTTGTATGAAAACCGACTAATAAATATCAGGGAGGATATCCCCTTTAATTGATCATTAATCAGTGTAATAACTGTGAAATTGAGACAATATGTATGTATATAATGTTTAGAGGGTATGGTAAAGAGGGGAAAGCAGGCTATGCAATGATAATTATTGCAAAAGTTTGACAAGATATATAGGATCTAAATTGGAGGTTACAATAACAAAAATTGATGTAGAGGATTCCAAAACGATGTCACTATTTTCTTCTTGTGATGAAATTATATTTCATTGTTAGATGTAAAAAAAATAACTGAAAGGCTTAACAATGTGTAGGATCAGCTGTATCGGTAGGATGCCCATGGCGCTGTAGGTCTATCATGTTGTGTCACTGTTTGGCTTATTTTAAAATTTGAGATTTGGGAAATGGTAAATTTCAGATATGACATGTAGTATGTACACATAACTGGTGACGAACATCACAACAAATTGTAACATCTTCAGTGTCATGGAGCAAAGTCTACATTTTGTCTCCATCATATCAGATAGTACTTCAAATTGTTACTAAAACTTAAACAAAATGGGATGACCGAAATCAGATTCATCTCTTGTCAGCATAAAAATATGGTTATTAAAAGTTTCCCTTTGTTCAGGGTTTGTAAACAGGTTCAATTTGATATGCACATACTTGTCAAGCTGATGCTTCTTTACTTGAATTAGGTACTTGCCCCGGTATAACAGACGGACATCCCTGCTCATAACTAATATAGTTACATGACTCATGAGGACAGGCAATAGAAAGTCAGATGGATTTTATTTTAAAAGAACCTTAGCTATATATACATGTATTTGTTTATCTCAACTTGTTACCAAGAAATACATACCAGATGAAGGGCTTAATTTTGTCGCCTGCATCCAAGGAAAGCTAGAAGCATTCCAAGTGTACGTCTGCGTCGTCGGTGACGTGCATCGTCCCGTACTATCCGTTGACGACGACGATGACGATGACGATGATTTGGCTAAAATGTTCTCTACACTATGACTAGCGAAAGACGGTACGGATGAGGAGTTCGTGCGAGCAGCGGGGTTTTCGGGAGGTGGTGACGAAGGAGCCACGGGGCTGCAGTCCATGTCTGTTGGGTGCTGTTTGCTGCCGAGCGGGGACGGTGATTTCGAGAAGAGAGATTCCACTCGGAAATTGATTCCTTTGGCGGGCCTGTCGTCTGCTTTGTGCATCGGCGTCTCGGGTGAAGTCGCCCCCGGAGAGATGGCCGTGACGGGAGAGAGGCTATGGTGGGGCCGCGTGAAGGCGGAATTGTTGCTCACTGTCAGTGTCTTATTGGACATGATGGAAGCCGGGTCGTACGGCGTCTCGGTTATCGCCGTTTCGCTGTGATGCATAATATGCATGGGTGCACGTCGATTCGATAGAAGAAAATTATTCCAAATTCCAAAATAATCGCTTCAACAGTAATCAAGGATGAGCTCAAACAGAGAAGATAGCAAGCGAATGATTAGTCTCGAAGATGTCCTCGAAGTAGAAAAAATACCTTCACTGTTGGGTTGCTTTGGATGGAATGACTTAAATACTGTAAACATGAAAGGCACTGAATAAAATGAAGAGGCACCATGTAGGTTATGCACATGCATGGAATCGCTGTGATAACAATAATTCAGACCGGTTAAACACACATCGTAGCTGGATGACGGAGCAGAGCAGTGAGATATGATATCAACTCGACGATTGAGCTAGCCAATATATGATACACACCGCTACGTTACTGTAAACTTTTCGGCGCTTGTCTGTCATTAATCAATTTGCGAACCAAAATATCGGCACACCCGCCCTCTCCCTGCACCCGAGGTAATTGCTGGTGAGTCAGCCAATGAGAAGCCGCGAATGCTGTGACGTTGGATGGTCGGCATCACTGTACGGCGCCGTGGACAGGGGAATAAATGCTTTACGTTGGCCGTGATACCCGGTGAATTTGCCTCGAGTCAGACCCCGCGCTCTCTCTCTTTCTCGCTTTTCGGGACTGGTTTATATCAAAAGATCCTTAGTGGTTACACTTACTAGATTCCAGCCTAGAGCTAAGCCCCAGCCACACACTCACTCACTCACTCACTCACTGGGCCATCATCCCAAGCACAATAGTACCGTGTATATTTTGTGTAATAGCCAGTGACCGTACGTCTTTTGTCGGCAGTTGCAACGTGCCCGCTCGTCGCGCAAGTCCCAGGCATCGAGTTTCGGAGACGGGAAAGAATCGGATGAAAGCGTTTGCCAGACTGGAACGAGTTCTCAATAGCTCTCAGTCTCATAAAAAAAAGCCTGATTCATATAGATGAAGCAATAAGAGAGAAAGAAAGAGAGAGAGAGAGAGAGAGAGAGGAGGGAGAGGGTTTTTTCAGTGGGAACGGCTCTTTCTATTCGGGCGATCAATTACCTCAGGAGGCATAGCCAGGCTAATTGCAAGTACAAACACTCCGTCACCATTTGTCACCTTATTCACTGAGTAGACATCTTAGGACGGCAGTCGGCGCCACAACTCTCCCCCAATCAAAGCCTACTCCAGGCACTCACATCAAGAAGAAAAAAACTACCTTTTCCCCTCTCTCTCTCCTATAAAATTATAAGCCCCCACCTCTAAACTGAAAGACCGCAGAAAGCTCCTTATTCAGGCACCCGCAATCACGATGTGTTCCTTCGCATCGTATCCTAAATTGCCCTCGTTTTGCTTCCAAACGTCTTTGCCTTCACCGGCTCTCAAAGAAATATCAACAAGGAGAAAAAACAGAAATGATAAAAACTTGATGGAAGGTTAGTGTTTCAATATTGGTACCGGTCAGATTAACCTAATCCTCAAATCACCAACACATCGCCGTCAGCCCCGACAAAAAGAAAACGTCGCAACCACTTCATAACGTCAAGCTGAGTACAAAATTCGATTAGAAATAGATACTGTAACAATTTTTCTCTCTTTTTTTTATCCTGCCGGGGGCCGGTCACGGTATAATTTGGCCCCTCCTAACCCCCCCCCCCCCTCCCCCTTTGAACCCGATGCCCCTTTAAGATATTTATCACAAGGCTTAGGAATACACTTGAAGGAGAGGGTATACACAGTCCCATACGTTGAGAAGGGAGGGTTGTTTAGAATGTAAATATATTAAACACCGGGAAGTCCGCAATGCTAATTCTGTAATGAGCGGCAATATTTGGCTACGGGTCTGAGGGTTGCGGAGGCTAGCATCACAGCGGTAAGCCGCGAGACACTCGGCCGTGCTCTCTGCGGTACCGGCATCCACACAACCGTATCACTACCCACAGATATCTCGCAGCTTGGAACCAAAACAAGAGAGAAACGAGAGAGAGGGGGAGAGATGGAGACCCGCCCGGGGTACAGGCTTCACCCAAGCTCATCTACAAGGCTGAAATTGGCGAATTAGAAGCCTCTGATTCATCTTTACCGACGGCCGACTGAGGGAGTGAGAAAAAACAAAAATGCAACAAGTTTTGCTTTTGTGGCTGCCTGGCAGAATACAATAAGACTCCAATAGAATGCCCCCAAAACGCAATTACGAGACAAAAAGTGAGGTTAATAACGGGTTATTCATCCTCCTTCTCTCTTGCTCGTGGTTGTACAATGGAAGTTATTAATTACCTCCTTTTTGTTGGTATTATTCGCTAATTGAGGTTATTAATTTCCTCATTGTAGTCACTCACTCTCTCTTTCTGCCGGGGACATGACCTCAAGTTGTGAGTTAATTTTGTAAATCATCCAATAACAATACACAATGGCTTCATGTATTGCCCTCAGTTAATTGAGCGAGATACTAGACAAATATGAATGAAAATTAATGTCATTGATATTAATCACGTGTCCGTTCAATAATGTTTGTGCGTAACACTCATGTTTTATACTGAATTTTAACTTTTCGGTACAAGGCTTGTGAATTTTCACAAAAGCTGTTTGATTCAGCCGTGTTATTGATAGATCTTCAAGAATAATGTAAGCTACCTCATCAACAGAAGTGGATTTACAGAACATTTTTTCCTTTTCATTTCAGCGTACTTGTTTCCAAGTTTGTTTTTTTCATTTATATATATATATATACTTTTTAAAGATAAAATATTATTATCTACATGGGTATAAAACTTGTCCTTCATGTTATTTGTTGCAACATAAACATTTTTAAAAAAACAGCCATTGAAATAAGATTTTTCAATTCGTCAACGCGTTTGAGATGAACAAGTAAATATCTCGCAAGAGCCGTCATTGTCCACGACAAGTGATACACTTTTGTTACTTGTTGGTAAACTTTATATTATATAAAAAATTAACAACTGAATTATTCATACTCCTTGTGAATTTGTTTTTGTGTGTGTGAGTGTTTGACGTAACTCAAGAATGAAGAGTGGACTGATTGAATGGGGAATTAGGGCCTTCGTTTAATACTTTTAGATGTACGCTTTCGTATGTCACATTCACAAGAAGCATAAATCAGGACGAATAATTTTTCAAATTCTTAAAAAAAATACAAAACGTAGTAGCTGTGTGGATAATTAAGTTGTTAAATATATGTATTTATAATGTATGTATTTGATTTAATTTATTGGTTTGATTTATTAGTTTCTATGTATGTATTTAAGTATAAAGTTTAACACATAATAAACATTAAAGAATTGAAGTAGTACATGGAAAATATATTTGTATAAACTAGCCAATTTCTTCATCATTAGGATTTGTGAGTAAGTGACGATATTGAGAATAAAATAGACATGATATTTTCATTTCATTTCATTTATTCAACCTGTATAAATACCGATTTACAATGAAAATACAATTATGGTTAGGAACCCTTAGAAGCAGAAATTTGTTGTAATCGGGGCCCTGCAAACAAACAATAACAAGATAATGCACATAAATCAACAATAACAAGTAAAAGACTTGAATAATACAAGTACGCACACGCACATGCACACACACACACATATCCATAAAGAAGGTCACAGAGAAAGAATAGAAAGGAGCGAAAAATAGGAAAGAAAGAGATAAAAGTAGAAGAAAGATGGGAAAGAGAAATACCTACTCAACCATGGATTGAAAAATACTTTTTATATACATTGATTTAAATCTGGTAATAGTAGAACTGGATCTTAGGTCATGATTCAAGGAATTCCATTCCCGTACCCCAACAAATGATATAGAATTATACAGTGAAGTTGAACGACAGAGTGGGTGATGTAAGTTTAGACTTTGACGAGTGGGGTAATTGTGAATAGAAGAATTTGTTTGGAACATATTAAAAACAGATGGTAACAGGTTTTTATGAAATTTAAACATAAATATGCAATATAGTTATCTATCTATCTAACAGGCTATAGTTCATCCAGACGTTGGACAAAGCCCTCCTCATAACATTTCCATTCTCTTCTGTCTCTAGCTGTCCTAGTCCAAGCGGCCGTATTAAGTTTGATCAAATCACATACAGGAATAATTCCCAGTTTAATGAATAATGGTAAACTTGGGGACATATAATGACTATTTGTTATTAACCGAGCTGCACGTTTCTGTAACATATAAATCTTGAACAGTTTTGTTTTGTTAGTATTACCCCAAATGATATTGCAATAATTTAAGTGGGGAAGAAGTGTTGCGTTGTAAATATTCATTAATATGTTCCTTGGGAGAAAATTCTTTAGTCTAGACAAGACATAATCAATATGCCATTTCCAATCTAGAGTTTCTTCAATTTTAGTACCTCAAAAAATAAGACTTAGTTCTCGTTCAAAAGTTACATTCGCTGTTCTAATAGGATTGGTGAAATTTGGAACTTTCTTTTTCTTTGTGTAAAAAATTACATAGGCCTATTTAGTTTTTTTTCATAACTCAAAAATAATTTATTTCATTTAAACAAATCATTCAATTCTATTACATTAATATGTATGATAAATACAAGTGGTCCGAGAACCGACCATTGCGGAACTCCAGTATTTACATCCATATAATCAGATTCGACACCATCGACCACCACATATTGTTTTCTATTGTACAAATAATCAGAAAACCACTGATGAGGTATACCACGTACACCGTAATGGTACAACTTTTAAAGTAAAATATGGTGGTCGATGGTGTCAAATCCCTTAGAAAGATCCATAAACAATCCATAACAAAACATTCCATTATTAATTTCGTGTAGAATATTTTTAGTAAAATTCACAATACTCAGATCAGTGCTATGGTTTTTACGAAAACCAAACTCCTCTGAAATAAGAACATTATATTTCAGTAAATAATCATACAACCTTTCATGCATTACTTTTTCCAACAGTTTTGCAAAAATAGGAAGCAAGGCTATGGGTCTATAATTTCATATATTTTTAACATCATTCTTTTTGTATAAGGGTTCAATTTTGTACAAAAAGGTTAATTATGCAAAATGATATAAACTTGAGAAATATCGTTTCGAGGCGAAATAAAGATAAAGTCATCATGATCATTTTATAGTTCCATTTTGATTATTTCTTTAAAATCGAATTAATATACAGTTAACAACTTAATTATTCATACCCTTACCAAGTTTCGTTATTTTTCAAGTATGTGAAAAATTGATATGTCTCGATTTCTGTTTTTTTAGAAGTGACACATTAAAGCTTATATCTAAAATTATTATTCAATCAGTCCACCTTTCATTCTTGAGTTACGAAAAATACACAAAAAACATCAAATTTAAAAGGGGTATGAATAATTCAGGTGTTGACTGTAATTTCGACAAATTTTGCAGTGCAGTTGTTTTCCACCATATTTTTTAAGCTGATGTGCAATGTTATTATATAACTGAAATCAAGTTAGACAGAACCCTATTTCAATGTTAATCATTTTTGCACATCATTTTTGTTAATCATTTTTTTTCAACGACATGAAAATATGTCGGCGCAAACGATGGTAGAGGTATATTACAATTCAAAATATCAAAATGCCACGTATTTTTGTTGTCTATTGTCATATTATCATGTAAGTCAAAATTCAAACAGAAATTTGGACTAATGATTTGGAAAAGAGTTTTGAAATGTTAATAGATAACATTTAAATGTAACAAAAGATGCCGTGTGAAAACCAAAAATGAAT